CCCAGAGACTCTTATCAAGGGCTTTAATTAAACTTAGCTGACAACCTATTTTGTCTACCTTAATTTTCTTTTCCCAGTCTCAGAATCTCCTCTCTCTCTCTGAACGTCCGAGTCAGGTAGTGTGTTCTCATGCTGCAGTCATTCGCCTCCTGACTCTACTTAAAGAAATTTGAATTTTCAAAGAATTTACATATCTTCAGGAGCCTGAGACTTTCTAATTTCATTATCTCTTGTTAGCAATTTTCCACCCTGCTGAGTCCAATACTAACTTCCTTTTATTTTCTTAACCTATTTAACCTCTCCTTTCGCTCCATAGGCAACTTCAATACTAAGAGAAAAGAGGAACAACTACCCATATTTTAATCCACAGTGCTGATGGGAATCTATTAGAATCTGTAGACATCCTTTCACCATCAAAATAGACATGCCATTTTGAGGATCCATTTTATTTTGCCTTCTCTTACTGCAAGGTACAAATTGGCTGGGACAACACAACAAACATCTTTCAACACCAGCAATGTTTAAACCCTTCATAGCAACATCAACTTGCCCTTGTTATTGTAGGCAACAATAAAAAAATAATATTGACATTGGTAAGAGAGTTACTCTAAAACTGTTATAACAGATAACACAGAGTTTAATATTTTGTTATTTGTCACTTAGGCCTGGGATCTTGTTTACTCCAAAAACACATTTGGTTTTTTTTCTTTAAAAAAAAGTTTAAACTCATTATTGTGATATGGAATACTAAAGAACTATTTTGATGTAAATTGAAGTTCAAAATTCTTTTTTAAACAAGAAACATAATTTCAAATAATAAAAGCCTTTTAATAAGATAACTACAAAAAATTCAATTTTTGACATGTAAAAATATTAAATTCTATACATCTGAGCATAGTAGTGAACAGATAGATGCTTTTTTAAGGTATAGTAATTTTTATATATTTTTTTGTGGTTCAAGCAAGTAAGCTGGGTATGCTTTTAACTTTACAGGAAATCCATGATACTATGACATGATAACATCTGGGGGGGGGGGGGGAACTTGACCAGATGAAGTGATTATAAAATGATATAAAAAATACTGAAATAGCTTCTCTACTTCTTTAGATACTTAGGTATCTTTAATTTTAAAAACGTTTAAGGATTTACAAGTTATCATGCAATATAAATGTTAATTGTTGATGCTAAGATTTTAATAGCTACTTTAGCAAGAACATTACAGAAAATGTTAACTACATCCTGCATAAATGAGCCTCATGTAAGGATGTCAGCATGCAGATAATATTAATATGAACTAGATTTTAAAACAATATATATGGAATTAGATATACTTTAGCTGTGCTAATTATCAATTTCCTAGGATTTTAATAGGGTTTTTTTTCCTAGCTCTTTTCCATTGTCTAGTGAATTTCTTTTATTTTTCTTTTTGTTCCCCTCAATAGCTTAATATAATTTTTGCTTTTTTCACTTCACTATATGAAAGGTTGGTCTAGTAGTTTTGGCACTGAGCTAAAAATTGGAAGATTGTGAGTTCTAGTCTGGCCTGAGGTACAAACCTAGCCGGATGACCTTGAGCCACTAACCACTAGGAAGAAAGTAAATAGTAAAGTGTTTCCAAATTTTTACCAATAAAACTTCAGGGAATAGGCCAGGCAGTCCCCAGGAGTCAACTACAATTCAAGGACACGCTCTGTCTGTATGTTTATCATCTATCTATCTATCTATCTATCTATCTATCTATCTATCTGCTGGTATCTACTTATCTATCTACAGGTGAAACTCAAAAAATTAGAATATCGTGCAAAAGTTCATTTATTTCAGTAATGCAACTTAAAAAGTGAAACTAATATATGAGATAGACTCACTACATGCAAAGCAAGATAGTTCAAGCCGTGATTTGTCATAATTGTGATGATGATGGCTTACAGCTCATGAAAACCTCAAATCCACAATCTCAGAAAATTAGAATATTACATGCAATCAATAAAACAAGGATTGTACATAGAACAATATCGGACTTCTGAAAAGTATAAGCATGCAGATGTAGTCAGTACTTGGTTTAGGCCCCTTTTGCAGCAATTACTGCCTCAATGCGGTGTGGCATGGAAGCTATCAGCCTGAGGTGTTATGGAAGACCAGGATGCTTCCATAGCGGCCTTCAGCTCTTCTGCATTGTTCGGTCTCATGTCTCTCATCTTTCTCTGGGCAATGCCCCATAGATTCTCTATGGGGTTCAGGTCAGGCAAGTTTGCTGGCCAATCAAGCACAGTAATCCCACGGTCATTGAACCAGGTTTTGGTGCTTTTGGCAGTGTGGGCAGGTGCCAAGTCCTGCTGGAAAATGAAGTCAGCATCCCCATAAAGCTCATTTGCAGAAGGAAGCATGAAGTGCTCCAAAATCTCCTGGTAGACGGCTGCGTTGACCCTGGACTTAATGAAGCACAGTGGACCAACACCAGATGATGACATGGCCCCCCAAATTAACACAGACTGTGGAAACATCACACTGGACTTCAAGCATCTTGCAGTATGTGCCTCTCCATTCTTCCTCCAGACTCTGGGTCCTTGGTTTCCAAATGAGATGCAAAAGTTGCTCTCATCAGGACTTTGGACCACTGAGCAACAGACCAGTTCTGTTTTTCTTTAGCTCAGGTAAGACGCTTCTGACATTTGTTGTTCAGGAGCGGCTTGACAAGAGGAATACGACATTTGAAGCCCATGTCCAGGATCCGTCTCTGTGTGGTGGCTCTTGATGCACTGACTCCACCCTCTGTCCACTCCTTGTGAAAGTCCCCAACACTTTTGAATGGCCTTTTCCTGACTATCCTCTCCAGGCTGCGGTCATCCCTGCTGCTTGTGCACCTTTTCTTCCACACTTTTCCCTTCCACATAACTTTCTATTAATGTGCTTTGATACAGCACTTTGGGAACATCCAACTTCTTTTGCAATTACCTTTTGAGGCTTTCCCTCCTTAGGGAGGGTGTCAATGATGGTTTTCTGCACAACTGGCAGGTCAGCAGTCTTTCCCATGATTGTGATTCCTACTGAACCAGAATGAGAGACCATTTAAAGGCTCAGGAACCCTTTGCAGGTGTTATGGCTTAATTAGCTGATTAGAGTGGGACACTTTGAGCCTAGAATATTGAACCTCTTCACAATATTCTAATTTTCTGAGATTGTGAATTTGGGGTTTTCATGAGCTGTAAGCCATAATCATCTCAATTATGGCATATCACGGCTTGACCTATCTTGCTTTGCATGTAATGAGTCTATCTCATATATTAGGTTCACCTCTTAAGTTGCATTACTGAAATAAATGAACTTTTGCACAATATTCTAATTTTTTGAGTTTCACCTGTGTAGTAACATTGGTACTTAGTGCATATATAATATTGCAAACCAATGTCTTTTAAAAAATAAGTTAAATGTAATGTGTCAGAAGTTTGATGAAATTATTTTTTAAAAACGCTTCTTTCTTTTCCTTCACAGCAGAGTAGATTAAGATAAAGTAAACATCTAATTCTGTGTGGAAGGACCCAGGAATAAGTAGATGCTGATTCATCACATGACAGCAGAAGGAGCAAGAAGACTGCGACAAAGATGAACTGGGTGGTGGAATGCAAGGCAGCAGGAAGCCAAAATGGCATAAATGGGGGTAGATAGCCAGATTGAGGGAGTTGCAGGACCCTTGCGGCCATAAGTGCAGGTGGGCTACCAGGCACCCAAATTGTGATCATGTGAACAGCCGTAACTTTGGGCACAGGTGCTGCAACAGCTCTGTATCTGTGCTATAGATGTTAGTTACTTTGGTATAAAATCTTATACCATTTCAATTTTAAGCAAATGAAAATGACAGAGATTTTATTTTAAATATGCAATTGGTACTTCAGCTCGTTCCATTACATTCTGAATATACAAGTAGTCCTTGACTTACAACCATTTCCTTATCACCCATCCCACTTGACTGTTTCCTAGTATGATTTGACTGTTGATTGTACCCTATGACTATCATTAAGTGTTGTACCTTATAATACTTGATTCTTAATGAATGTACCTTTTCTTTATGTATACTGAGAGTATTTACACCAAGACAAATTCCTTGTGTGTCCAATCACACTTGGCCAATAAAGCTATTCTATTCTATTCTATTCTATTCTATTCTATTCTATTCTATTCT